GCACGCCCCCGCTGCGAACCGAAAAGGAAAATTGTTACAACTCAAACCCAGGGAATGCTTCCAGTCAACAGAGAATCCCTAGGGAAAAACCTGAGATAATCTGAGATCAATAGTGCTAAACTAGAACTAACACCGAGGTAGGCTTTGCTTCCACAGAATTCACAGGATGACTGGGCTGAAAGAGACCTTAAAGATTGAGTCCAACCCAGGCCCAACATCTCAATTAAATCCTGGCACTGAGTGCCACATCCAGGCTTTGTTCAAACAGCCACCATCCCACAGCCTTCACCTTTTTATTGGCTGTGCTTCAGAAACCTGTCTGGCCCTGGTTTCATCACTGCTGCTGCAGGCTCTGCCCTTCTGGGAGTGACCAGCTCCTGCATTCCCTGCTTCCATTGCCAGAGGAATCAGAGCCTGCTGCAGCACAGCAGAATCCTTTTCTGGAGGTACCTGAATGCTCACAGGTGAGCACACATCTTCACAGAATCACAGTGGCTTGCGTTGGAGGGACCTTAAAGACCATCCAGCCCACCCCTGCCATGGGCAGGGCCACCTTCCAATAGATCAGGCTCTCCTAGGCGTTCTGTGCCTGACTAAACACTAAGCACAGGGATTTTGAGAACTGGGGCAGAAAAAAAGTACTTCCCCAGCTAATTCATCATGTCTCTTTATGTCTAAATGCCTCTCTGTGGGCCAAGTCCTGCCTGTTCCCCAGCCACTGCAGCTTTTACGCCTCCAGCACAAGTCCCTGCCACACCACACCTGGTCCCAAGGCTGTCCCCAAGCTCAGTGACACACAGGAGCAGATCCCTGGGGCACACAGAGCTGCTGCTGGGCTGACAGGAAGCCCAAGCATTTTGCAGTGTGGTCTGTGACATGATTTCATCTTCAAACAAAACAGTCCCTAAGCTGAGAGATAGCTACCAACAGGAGAGAAAGGAAATGATTAATCAAAGCTTAACCTCATTTTTATGTGGTTTAAGTGAAAATGTTGTGGTATGAAACTGTCTGAAAAGCACAGGTTAATGCTTGTACTCCTGAGAGGTGACAGAACCTGTTGGAATCCCAGTCCTGCTGGGATTTCTGCCCTGTTTTGCTGAGAACAGGAGATCAGGTGCACATGTGGTAAATTCTTTGATTCCAGTGTGACAGAAGGGGCTCAGGGGGCTCAGGGGAGACCTTCTCTCTCTCCACAACTCCCTGACAGGAGGGTGGAGCCAGGTGAAGGTCAGGCTGTGCTCCCAGGGACAGGGTAAGAGGAAACAGCCTCAAGCTGTGCCAGGGGAGGTTTAGGTTGGATACTGGGGAGAATTTCTTTATGGCAAGGTTGGTCAGGCCCTGACACAGCTGCCCAGGGCAGTGGTGGAGGCCCCATCCCTGCAGGGATGTAAAAGCTGTGTGGATGTGGCACCTGGGGGCACAGGTCAGTGCTGGGGAATGGCTGGACTGGGTGCTCCCACAGGGCTCTTCCCACCTGAACAACCCTGGGAATTCAGGCAGGGACAGAGCCAGGCCTGGCTTATTCCAGCCCTGGCAGCACCACTGCCCACACAACCTGTGCCAGGTCCCAGAGCTCACCTAGCCATGGAGTGAGGTGGCTGCAGGGGCCAGGACACCTTCCCATGACAGGAGAGGCAGGAACACAGCACAGGGCACCCAAAAAAGCCTCTGCTCCAGAGGGGACAGGCTCACCTCTCTCTGGAGCACCAGAAGCGGGTGCCTTTAGCAGAGCTCCACTCAGAGTTGCAGGGTGGGAACTGCTGTTGCTGCTGATCACTTTCTGCCTGCAGCTTGAGAGCTTCCTCGATGGCAGCCTCCACCTCCCTCAGGGCTGCTGTCGGTGCCCCATTTTCATCGTAGAATCTGCCCACCAGCTTCCCTGGGAGAGGAGATCAATTAGGACCACAGTGTTTCCAGACCACAGACCTGTTTCCAGGCAAGGAAAACGCATTGTTCTGGTGGGGCTTTATTTTTAATTTGCTATGTAAAAGGTGATGTCACCATGGCCCAATTTTAGAACCAAACTAAGCTTACATCCCTTCAAACCCTTGGATCACACAGCAGTTTACCCATATTAATAAACCCATGCAAAACAAGCTTGGGCATTACAGAGCTGAAAACCAAAGCCAGTTCCAGCTGCACAACCCAGAAACCATTCCCCAGAACAATTTCCCTGCACTGCTGCCCCAACATTCTCCTGAGTGATTTCAGGCTGGCTCCATGCTCTGTGCTCAGCAGAGACAATCCAAGCAGGACAGCAGCCAAGTGGGAAAAGGATTAAACCTTCCCTTGGAGGGAAGCAAACTCAGGGCCCTGCACACCCATCCCAGTGTGAGCCCTGCACACCCATCCCCGTGCGAGCCCACCCAGCCCCAGACGTACCCACGGGCTCGTAGTTGTCGCTGTAGAAGCTCAGCCAGCTGTGGATGGAGAGCAGCTCCGCGGGTGACAGCCCCGACACGGAGTCCACCAGCCCCGCCGGGCTGAAATCGCCGCTGGCAAACGCTCGGGTGGCATCTCTGCCTGCGGGCACGGGGGAGAGCACAGCGAGGGGAGAGCCCAGCAGGGTGAGAGCCCCAGGCACAGAGTGAATCCCCCAGCCATGGATGAATTCCCTAGCCATGGAGTGAATTAATCCCCAAGTCAAGGAGCGAATCTTCCAGCCAAGGAGTGAAAGAATCCCCTAGCCGTGGGGTGAACTCCCCGGCCATTGAGTGAATCCCTCAGCCATGGATGAATTCCTCAGCCATGGAGTGAATCCCCCAGCCATAGAGGGAATTCCTCAGACATGGAATTAACTCCTCAGTCATAGAGTGGATTCCCCAGCAAGGGAGTGAACCCCCCAGCCAAGGAGTGAATCCCTCAGCCACTGATTGAATTCCCCAGCCATAGAGTGAATTCCTCAGCCATGGAGTAAATCCCCCAGCCAAAGAGTGAACCCTCGAGCCTTGGACTGAATCCCCTAGCCACGGAGTGAATTCCCCAGCCTTGGAATACAGCCCAGCCATGGAGA